ACACTCTTTTCTAATTGGACCCTCGCGTTGGGATGGAATGCATTCCGTTTTTCTTGGCCTGCCTGGCTAGCGTTTATCCATTATAAGTAGCTTAACAATCATCAAATCATCGGGGATCTCCCATTCGGATGGATTTGGCAAAGGGTTTACTGATTCCTTATACGTTTTCCTCAATTTTTCTGTATGGTAAGAATTTAATGCAAACATCGAGCAGTCTTGGTAATTGTTGACTGTTAACGCTCTTATGACATAACCACAAGGTATGTCGTCAAGTTGCCAATGCCTACATGTACATGTCATTTGTTGGAAATCAACAATGGCGTTTTGTGCCCCCTTTTTGATCTCGCATTTCTTACTTGAGATCATGCAAACATCCCAATTACTAAAAGAATTTTTATTTTCTTTTACAATATCATCGGCCAAGGGGTGAGTGTTGTCGTTGCTTCCGCTTAAAAAATAGACAAAATTACACAGGTAAGATCAATAACATTTAACACAAACATTAATATTAAAACTTAGTACCTGCAAAGTTACGTCTTTGAAACCACCACTGTTGCATTGTTGCATGAAAAAAGTCGATCAACATCAGTATCGGCACCTTACATGCATGTCTAGATAATGCATTTATAGACTCCGCACTGTTGGACGACATAAGATTGTATCGGTTCCCTCTAAAATGTGCCCTAGAACAAGTTTCAGGATTTATACTTTGTAAATATTCCCATACCGGTTCTTTTGTCTTTTTCATAAGGTCCATGGCAGCATCAAAACCATCAACTGTATAGGCTCTACAAGCCTCCCAAAAAATTCCTTTAACTATCTTACTCTTCCCGTATCTAGCTACTATGTTGAAATACAAATGGACACCACATATTCCGTGATTAGCGTGAGAAAAAATGTTGGCAACAGATGTCGCTATAAATGGAGACCTATCAGATATAATTGTAAGCTCCTCCATATTGCCTATGTAATCACGTAGTTTTTGAAAAAACCATGTCCAAGAATCTGTACACTCATTTTTGCATATACCATATGTAACCGGTAATATTTGGTTTTGTCCGTCTTTAGTAACTGCAAGTAACATGGTACCTTTGAACTCGCCCTTTAGGCGGGCTCCATCTACTACAAGGGTCGGCTTACAATAATTGACAAAAGCGCGTACCTACAATACATTGTATATCTATTCAAATACATTGATTATAGTTAGGTACACCAAAATAAAAATAATAATACAAACCGAGCAACTAAGTGCGACATACAAGAACTCAAACCGAGCATCACCGTTTGTTTGGATATGTGTCACCGTACCAGGATTATGTTTGACCAAATTGTGGAAATAAGCCAGAAGTTTGGTAAAAGAATCATCTTTCGTACCCCTTAACAAGAACATTGCATATTACTTCGCACGCCAAACCTGATGGTATGAGATATTGATTTTCAATTGAGCATTCATATCATTAATAATATCTTGTCCCCGATATACTCTACTATAATCTTCAGCCAAAACATCAACAAGATATTCACCCAAAACATATTTGTTTGCTTTTTGATGATTACATTGCAAAATTGTTGAAGAACATGTGTGTACGTCAACAAATTTATTCACTTGGAAAAGTCCGCCAAAATTTTTAATTCCTTTTTCTCTTAGTAACCAAGAACAATTTTTCCCAACATACACAACCTCATACCTTGATTTGGTCGATCTACCTGTCCTCGTCTGAAAACCTTCTCAAAGACATATTTTTCCCAATCGCCCGTTTTATAAGGTCTTTTTCTTAAATATACTGAGACATTTAATCTTTTGATGATTGATGTCTACCATCTGTGCTAGGATATCTTCATTAACTTCAATTGCACATGCTGGTACAGGGGGCCTACCGTAAAAAAGGTTATCGGGAAACTTAGCTTTAACTTCATCACCCAAATCATCTCCATCAGAATTGCTTTCTAGGTCGGTTATATCTAAAGCTACATCAGCAACATGAACATAATCCCCGTAAGCATGTACATTTTCATCTTTCTAAATCATAACTTTTTTCTTTTTACTATTATCTACTACACCTCTATTCATAACTTTAACTTCTTGTTCGGGAACATCAACACAACGACCACCCACGTCATTAAGATATGTACCAACATCATCATTACCAACGTACTTGTAATTCTCAGGATCCACATAGTGAATATGTGAATACCACATATTAACATTTTCAGCAACACTATGAAATTGAGGTACACTAGGAGTCATGAAAGTACCTATTGGATTGTTGCTCCCTTTATCGCTGCATAAGTTAGCAACCGGCTCATTTCCACTCTCGCTACCCTCCGTAACCGCATCACCTTCATCAACCACCACAAAGACTTTCACAACCCTTCCTCCAATCGATTTGATTACATTGATCAACATTCTAACATCCATGTCTTCAACTATGGATATATAATGATTCAATTCAGGATGATGGAAACGAAGACTAATTTTATATTTGTCTAACAAACTGGTTTTCCTTCTCACCAAAGATACAAACTCACTATAACTAATGTACTCAGAAAATATCAAAGCGAATTCAGAAATACCTCCATGTGGACATATGTATTCAAGATTTGTTTCAATAATTTTCCACCTCCCACCGGTTACAACGCAAACCAAATATTCATTCATTTTATTAGAGAGGTTTTAAAGAAATTTTCCAAAGAAATAACAACTAAGCTGATAATTTTTTTGCAAAACTTTATATATATTAAAGTTATTTCGTAGTCAAACCCTACCAATTTCGTAGTCAAAATTAAAAAAATTAAAAAAAAAACCAAAATCGCAGTTGAAATGCAGAGGAAATCGCAGATGGGCTTAGTCCATCTGCGATTTTAAGGGGGCGAAGGAGGTATTTATACAACAAAAAAAACTATCTGCAAATATACAAGTCGCTAAAGCACGTCTGTGCGTTAGCTACTTGTACGTTCGTAGATGGCTTTCCAAAATCGCAGATGGACTTAATCCATCTGCGATTTTGGTGGCTAAAAATGCAATTTGGGTTTTTTTTTTGACTATTTTTCACAAAGTAATTAATATTTTTTGGCTAAATTTGCAATTTTCTCATATTATATTTTAGACAAAATTGCAAAAATGGTCCCTGTGGTATGCATTTTTTGGGGTTTTAGTCAAAACCTCGACTTTTTTGGCTTCGTGGTCCTTTTGACCATGTTTGCTTGTGATTTTGGTCCCTCGAAAAACTGAAAAGACTAAAATGCCCTTTCTGATATACTTTTTATGTTTTTTCATTTTAATTTAAAGGAAAAAGAAAATAGTTAATTAATTTGGGCCCACATCTCTCCCTCTCTCTCTCTCTCAAGAAAACCCACACAATTATTTGTCTGTAAAAAAACACACATACATTTCACGTAGTGGCCGTGTTCATAAAAATACAACACACACATACACTCAATGTTCCAGACCTGAAACAAATATGGAGAAGGGGACTTGTTCTTAGTCTCGGATTTGAAACGAAACCTTAATCCAGAAGTCGAAGGGCATATCTGAAATGAAAACCTATGCAAAAAATCATAATTCGAAGAACACCGCCTTAAACGACGATGAACACCACCAAGAATGGGACTAGCTCCAGAATCGCTGCTTTCTCAAAATCCGAGTTTGTGCTTATTATTTGTAATCAATCGATGAAGGATTCTATTAAATGGGTTCATACAGGTGAAGAAGATGGATCCGAGTTTTTGAGTCATGGTTTTTAACATAAGTTTCAATTTTGAATGGGATTGAGTTTTAGTGCATCAATCAGAGGTTGTGAAGGGATAATCTTTGTTAGAGATATTTTCTTCTTTTTAGATGAATCTAGAAGAAGTTCTTGAGGGTTGGATCCAACATCTGCTGCTATGGAGGTACTATAGGAGTTGAATATTGGTGGATCCAACAGACGTTAGGCTATGATCTAGACACATATGATTGTCATCGCATCATCCATGGAAGATTGTTGTATCATCTCATAAAGCCAGATCTTCAATTAAGAAACATTTTGCTCGCGAGTAGTTAATAGAAAATCGTAAGTTGCACTGCATAATTTGCGGATACGAAACCCCAAAATTTCAAGTAATTTTTGAAAAGCAATCCATAGTTATTCTCTCAGATCTTCATAGTAATTTTCTCAGGCCTTCACAAATTAAGACAGAGCTCGTTCAGATTTCATTAAATCTTGGCAGCAGTTTGTGTTCTTCAAGCTTTGTGGATTGAGCGGGGGTTTGATGTGCTTACAGTTTCTAGGCAGAAAAGGGGTTGAAAGTAGCTATAATGGTTCAATCTATTAGGTCGGTAGTTGATGAAGAGAGAAATGTAGGTGAGGCTAAACTAAGTTAGGATTTCAATTGTTGGGGGGGGGGGGGGGGTAGAAAGGAACCGATCAAGTGTTTCTTGAATCTTTTTTTTAGAGAGATGAAGAAGAAAAGCAAATGAAGTAGAGAGAGAGAGCAGGTGGGCCCCTTCTTATTTTTTTTAATTATTAAAATAAATAAAATAGCATTAGATTTAAGAAGAAATGAAAGAAAAATGGAAAATAAATACCCCAAGGTTATTACAGTCATTTCACTATTCAGAGAGACCAAAAAACACAACAAAACTAGCTAAAAAGAACCATGAAGCAAAAAATCAGAGTTTTGACTAAAACCCCAAAAAAAATCATTCTACAAAGACCATTTTTGCAATTTTGTCTATATTTTATGCCCTTGATTTAATTTTAAGTATTTATTATTTATCTAAAGTTTATAAATAAAAAATATACAATATATAAATATATACTAGAGTAATATATAGATCATTTGTACGTGAGTAAATGTTTCTATTAAATTACGATAAATAGTTAAATTAATTAAACGAGAGGGTTTTATATAATATTTTAGATAGATAACGATAAATAGTTAAATTAATAAAAAAAATAATAAAAATGTTTAATCATTTGGAAAAACAATTCTAGAGATCAATATAATCAAACAGTGAGGTGATAAGTTTACTATTGGAGTAACCATCCAATGACATGGCATGTGACAAATTTTTGGGTGTGAAGGAGGGTTTGGACTTCAGGTAAACCGAGGGAGCATATCGCCATTAAATTCGTTACTCTTGCTCGGCTACTGAGAGGATAACAGCGAAGATGATCGGAGTAGGGAAGATTAAGCAGTACACGAATGTTGTGGATAAACCCCTTAGTAAAGGCAGACAAGAGGTAAGATCCACCCAATTTCTTTCTGTTAACTAAGATCCCAAAATTCAATATTCCGACAGCGATCCTTATGCAATTCAGCGCGTTTAGGGTTCTCAGAGAAATTCCAAAAGGGGAAATTGGGAACTGATCCAGAAAAATAACTTTTACTTTCTGTTGCCCAAACGGTAGAACTTCTGGACAAATCTGGGCGTACCTTTTTCTGATTATGTGTCTTAGTTAAAAGGAAAGATACACGTCGGAACTTTGAATCTCGTTTTTTAATGCAAAATTGATAACGTATTTGTGAGATAAATTAAATACCGGTGTTACTGTATTTGAGTTGCTTGTTACAAAGTTTGAACATGGATATTTCATCTTTATCGCAAAGGCTTACAAATTCTTCCAGTTTTGAAGTTGGAATGCAACAGATTTGACCTTGAAAGTCAAAGTATATATGTTGTGGGGCTGAACAGTTCTGTATTACAATATGCAGGTCAGTTTAAGTGGATTTGCTTACTTATTCTCAGAGCTTGTTCAGTACAACCAAACTCAGGTTGACAACATTGGGGAACTAGAAAGGAGGTAACCACATGCTGTTTTTAGTTAAACCTATTAAAATAGTTAATAATTTCAGCTGTTAGATTAGATTTTTGACATGCAGCATAAACAAAAAGGATTTAGTATTTGTGGTATTTTGAAATCCCTCTCTTTGAGAAAACAAGAGCTACATTTTGACTTTGATCCTAGGATGTAGTTACACTTAACATCTAATTTAACATGGATTTTGTAGTATCTTTTAGTTGTTTTCGATAACCCCATCACTTGTTTCCTTATCGATTTGATGCACATATTTCCGGATTCATGTTTGCTCAGCTGTTCACTTCAGCTTCTTCCAAAATACTTGATTTGACAAGTACAAATATATGATAAATAAGCAAGCATTTAAGGGATGTATGTATAAACCAGAATGTAGTTGCATTGATCATAATAGAATGTTGTTAATCATTTGTTATGACTTGTTCAACTACAAAGAAAAGAAATCTTTATATACAATACATGTGAGCTAATAAGTTTGAGTTATGAATGTTTTGTAACATAATTCTCATCTGATGTTGGATCAGATTGGAGGATGCTGGTTATGCTGTTGGAGTACGAGTTCTGGAATTACTTTGCCATAGGGAAAAGGTAAAAAATTCATCTTCTTGGCACTGGCAGTTGATGAATTAATTATTCTATAATCAATAAAATTATTTTATGTGTGTATTTGTATAGTTAATAATAGATGGCAGCAACACGATTTATTTTGAATTTTTGTTTTAATGTCTCTCAGGGTAACAGAAGAGAGACACGTTTGTTGGGAATTTTGTCTTTCGTGCATAGCACAGTATGGAAGGTGCTATTTGGAAAGGTAATAATATACTAGATGTTCCTGAAGTTTTTTTTTTTTTTTTTTAAATTTTGTTTTGGTACTTTCCAAATATGCCCCTATGGTATACAAAAGGTGTTTCCTAATTCTACATTTGTTACATGAGACAAGACGGGAGGATTGGACTAGACTAGACAGGTGAAGGTTTGTAGGCTTAATTAATGCCTTTTGCATAGTCAAGAGATCAATATTGAGAGTCTGTGTCCCAAACACACACAAACAGAGTGAAGATTTTGTGTTTTCAAGTTTGAGTTTCGACTGTCTTACTCTTACTCCAAACCAACAACACAATAAATAGGTAGCGGACTCTCTTGAGAAAGGTACTGAACATGAAGATGAATATATGATTAGTGAAAAGGAGCTCCTAGTCAATAGGTACGCTACCTACATATACAGTTACTTATACGCACACTTATTTTTTTTTTTGATATATATATATATATATATATATATATATATATATATATATATATATATATATTTCTGTCTAGTCTAGTTATTTATACCTCTGTGTGTTTTTGAGTTATAGATTTATTTCGGTACCCAAAGACATGGGGTCTTTTAACTGTGGTGCTTTCGTTGCTGGGATAGTCAGGGTATGTATGTATGTATGTATGTATGTATGTGTTAGAATTGGCTATAAATGTAATATTTCCATGTTTGGAATTGGAAACTTGACGGGTGTTGTTGTTGTTTCACTTTGAAGGGCGTTTTAGACAATGCAGGTTTCCCGGCTGTTGTGACTGCTCATTTTGTTCCGGTGGATGGTCAACAACGCCCCCGAACAACCATTTTGATAAAATTTGCCGAGGAGGTAACATCATCAATACATTTATTCTCTTTTTACTTCAATTTCTGTTCCATGTGTTTTTTTCTCAAATATTTATACCCATTGTAGTAAGTAAACATTTTTTTTATTGACATGCAACCATAATAATAATAATAATAATAATAATAATAATAATAATAATAGCAATGTAGGCAACACTTTTGGTTGCGACATCTTGGATGCTAAAAAGTGTTTTTCGGTGCAGGTATTACGAAGGGAAGCAAGGTTAGGATGATTATTGTTGGTATAAGTAACTTGTCTGCCTTTGTATTTTGGCCATGGACTCATTGCAATTTTCTATGTCCTTTGAAGAATCAAATTAATTTTAATTTTGTAGCAACCACCCAACTCACAACTATTTTTCTTGTGTATTTTTCACACATACATTTTACCTCATCTTCTCTTTTGTTAAATGTATTTTCTTTAACAAAATGGAAAATACTTTTATTTTATTTTGTCTAATAAAGGACATTTTTCATCCATTTTACCAAGATTATGGGATGTGGTCATTTTTTTTTCTTTTTGAAAACATGTAGTCTTTTAAAAAAATATACAATGCACACACAATGGCTGTGTTTGATAAAAATAGTTGGTAGCAAAGAGCTGGTAGCGTTTAATGCTACATAAGATAGCTTTTAGATTTGTGGCGTTTTGTTTAAACTAAACACTTAAAGCTTGTAGTGCAAAACAAAGTTTTTTGTTTAAAACTGAGCATTTTGTCAAACGTTAGAAGTTAGAAACTTTCAAACGTTTTATGTCAAACATGCTCAATATCATTTACCATTAAAATATGTCTAATACTACATGTTTGTTAAAAACAAAAGTATGTTGTTGTTTTAAGTAAAGTAAAAGTATATTGTTTTGGTCTAAAAGTATGTTGCGTTGCTGTTTTAGGTTTAAAAATAGAAGTACATAACTACTCTGCGTTAAAAGAATAATAATCCAATATTTTTTAGGAAAATGATTTATAGGGGTAATCATTTTTTTTTATTTTGTTCACATTTAAACAATTTTTTTTTCGTATACATTTCATCATTTAACTTGTTAAATGTGTTCACATATTATCATTATCACCGTCTATCTTAGGTAACAAATAGTAATATGTGAATATATTTAACAAGTTAAATGGTGTAATGTGTAAAAAAAAAAAAACATAAATTGTCTAAATGTGAACAAAACGAAAAATCAATTACCTTGATAAGTCATTTTTCCCACTTTTAAATTATCGATAATGATTTATTATTTATCCCATTTATAGTCTTTTAATTTTGACAAATCAATTTTCTACTAATTTAGTTTTAGCAAAAATTTACTATCATAAATATTAATTAAATATTGATCAATTCTAAACTCTATTTTTTATTTAATAAATACGTTTTTGTGAAATTATTTTATATAGCCTCTTATATATTTTTTCTTTTGTTTTTAAGCATATGCAATATTTTACAGTAAATAGTATCTAACAACAAAATAAAATAAATTAAATTTTTAATAATAAGTATGGAGTGTTTTTTTAAAAAAAAAAAACAAAAAAAAAACTATATAATATAAATGTTTTAAAATTATTACAACTTTTTTATACTTTTTAATTATAAGTTTATAAACTTTTTAATTTTTTTAATATAACGTTTTAAACTAGTATTTAAGGAAAATATTTTAAATGTTATAAAAATGTATTAAATTGTAATACAAAATCTATAAAACACTTTAAAAATGTTGTAAAAAACGTTTTGAAATAGTTGTATGAAAGTTATAAAAAAAAGTATGAAAATAATAAAAAAACTAAAAACTGGTAAGAAAAATTTAAAACGTTTAAAAAATATTTGGTTTAAAAGCACATATATGAAAATTATATGAAAGTATAAAAAAATAAAAAATAAAAAATTATAAAACAAAGGTTAAAACATTTATTAGAAAAAACTATATGAAAAAATATCATAAAAATGTTGTAAGAAATTATTAAAAAGTCGTAAGAAATTTATAAAAAAAAAATTATTCACATTTAAGCAACTTCTTTTTGTACACATTTAACCATTTAGAGTAAATTACACGAATGGTCCCTATGGTTTAGGGTAATTTACACGTTTGGTCCCTAACTTAATTTTTTAACTCGGAAGGTCCCTATTGTTTGTTTTTGTTACGCGTTTGGTCCCTGTCTTACCTAAAAATACTATTTTGCCATTGATTTTCTAATTTATTTAAATAAACAAACCCCCAACCCCACTCCTCTCACCTTATCTTACCTACCTCACCGTTTTTCCCTATTTAAATAATAGTCTTTTTAGGTAAGATAGAGACCAAGCACGTAACAAAAACAAACTGTAGGAATCAAGCGTGTAACAAAAACAAACAGTAGGGACCTTCCGAGTTAAAAAAATAAATTAGGGCCCAAGCGTGTAAATTACCCCAAACCATAGGGACCATTCGTGTAATTACTCAACCATTTAACTTGTTAAATGTGTTCACATGTTATCAATGTTACAGACGACAACTTCTGTATCAGTTAAATAAGAAAATTTTTATTTCTGATTTGCTATATACCAATTTTAATTTACTTCACTTATTGTGATTCTTTTATTTTTATAATCAATTTAATATTTCATTATATAATATCATTATTTTTTCATTAGTTCACAAATAAAAACTGTCCCGTATATCTTGAAAAATAATTTCATATATTTATTTAAATCAACGATTATGATTTTATTTAAATAAAAAAACATAAATCTTTTAATTAATAATCTTTTAAAATAATTGGTTAATAACTATGAGTTTTTACTATACAACTTTAATTATTTTTGTAACCGTGGTTTCTACGGCCTAGCTTAAAATAAAAATATGTTGCTTTTGTTTATACAATAGATTTATGAGTATTTTAACAACCTTTTTTTGTTATTTAATAGATGTAAGGAACTAAAAACACACAAAAAAAAACAACTAACTTCAGGTCGTTATAATTTCTTTTTGTTTAGATTTTTTTTTCAAGTTTATATTAAATCTAGACTACTCTTCATAAATGATCCTTCTGGTTTTGTAAAATATCAAATTTAATTTTTAATTCTTTCGATATAAAAAAGTCTGATTTTAATTTTTATCATGGTTGATCCTATACTCATATTACTCATACAAAAAAACTTTTATACCCTTTTGAATTTGTTTTATTATTTTTATTTATTCCTGTATAATTTCTATTAATATTAAAATGCTAAGGACATCCACAATGGGAGTTCAATGAGGGCCGAATAAAATATTATTGAATATAATATTAAAGAGAGAGAAAGTGGAGTTGCATGGTCATTGAACTGCATCATAGAATTTACAATGTAAAATTGTGGGGGTTTTAAGAAATTATAAGTTCTCTCTCTTAGTTGGCATTCAACTCTTGGAAAGTTGAAATGATAGTGGATGCCCTAAAGTCCCACCATTTCCACCACACCACACCACACCCCATCATTTTCCTTTTCTTTCTTCTGATGCTCTCCACCACCATCCACCGCCAATCCTTTTCCTTTTCTTTCTTCCGATGCCCTTCCACCACCATCCACCGCCACTGCCCACCACCGGTTTCAACTCCATCCATTTTCACATACCTGCACATAAACTGATGAACATGATGATCTTGAAACCCAAATCCAAATACAATGAAGAAAATTACATATACAATTCTCTTTTCTACTGAAGAAGCAAAATCAAACCCTCTGCATACTACAAATCCTTAATCACTTACAAACAAAACCCCTAATGTTTGACCAAGACACTTTTAGAATTCAACAGTACACATACATCAAGGTTGTAAAAATCGTCCGACGGTCGACTGGTGTTAAAGGATTAATCAGGGACCATATATTATTAATAAAATATTAAAATTTATCAAAGATTAATATATTTTAAGAAAAATGAGTACTTCAAAAGTAGAAAATAAGAGAATTTGTAATTTAAAATTTTGAAAATTTGAAAATATGAACATTTTGGTATAATATTTGAAATTTTGAAATTGTGAAAATTTTGGAGTAAAAAAAATTTAATTTTTTGATTTTTTTTACTTTTGTTGACTTTTATTTTTTGACTTATTAACTCCACCAAGACATATTAATCATGCCAAACCCGATTAATCCCTAATTTCCGTTAAACACACTAATCCTAGTCGGTTGGTGTCACACCCCCAAACCGGAACGACGGAAGCATTCGGGGGTGGATGACTTCATGTTCAGTATCACAACAATGCAATATAGAAATCAAAGTACAACATCCATTACATTGATAAAATATAACTTTACATTCGTATTCAAATGTCACACCCCCAAACCAAGGATGACGGAAACGTCCGGGGGTGGAGGACTTCATGTATAGTATCACAACAACGAGTATAATAGTGCTTATAGTAAAATCAACCATCATAAATATAATTGAAAAAGGTTACACCATAGTATGAGTTTATATGTTTCAAAATCAATTACAATATGATGACAAAAATGTATAATTTGACGTCTTGCGTCCCATCCTCAAAAGCAGTTGATTACCTGTTCACTGGTTTCCTGAGAATACAAGTAATTTTGAAAGAGTGTCAACAATTAAATTGGTGAGTTCATAAGCTTTTGGATGAAATGTTGGAAAAAAATCTTTGTTTGTAAATGTAAATGAATACAAAAAAAAATCCAATATTTTCCTTATACAAAGTCGTGTAGTCTTAAATCCCAAGACTGAGAGTATGCAGTTTTAGATAGATAAAACCCCTTTTCTTGTAAAGTAGCATTTTCCCGTAAACTTGATGTTGTTAACTCCCTATGTGAGTCGTTATAACCATACTATAACTAGAGTGAACCTGCTACAACGTTTTTCAGACGTCAAGATCCTATGACTCTTGTCACCCGTAGACCTGCAAGTCCCGCTGTAGCTAGCAGCAAGGTGTGGGGTGTCAATCCCAATATAGATCTATACACAATTATCACGCTCTCCCTACAAGAGATACTAGTTATAACTTACAGGAATTTTTAACCCGTACTCTAAGAGTACAATTGAAGCATTGTCTCACAACTTACGTTAACGAGTTTACGTGTAGTGTGCGAGTAAAACCTTTTGTATGGTGGAATTGAATTCCCTTTATATGACAAGTTTGTAGTGTGAATTCCATAAACTATATCTATAAAAGTTTATTATGCATGTTTAAGTGAATGAAAACCTTTATCAATGAATACCCATTTCTGAATATAATGTTAAAGTAACAAGAAATGCATTCAATCGTATAGAAACCTAGTGATAAACACTTTGCTCAACATGTTACAAAGTGTGTTAAAACAGTGAGCTGTTAAGCTTGCTTTTCACTTTCCTACACTGTTTTACGAAAATCATATAAAAATCATACGGAGTCAAAAAATAAATCCGCAAACTCTAAGAGTTTAGAAATTGTGTCTTGTTTATTCATAATTTTTATTATGATTTTTAGAAGTCTCTAACTTGTGTGGAAA